GCAGGCCGCTGCCTGGATCAAGGGTTTGGGAAGGGGTTCCATCCATCCAACGACTAAGGCCCAATTTTGGGGGCTAAAACATGTAAGAATGTGTTTGTTTGCTGCTTTTATGCCTTTTTGCAAATAAAGTATTGGATGGACGGATACCCTTGTGAGTGCCGTTTTTTTAACTGTCACTATAATTGGAACAATGCTTTATTGTAGAGCATGTTTTAATGATGACTATAATACGATTTTAATAATTTTGAGTAAACTACAAGGCTATTTCTGTATAAGGATGAATTTATTTCTTATCTTTACCAATTGATCTATACATTATCTATACATTTCTTAGGACACTTTAAAAATCCTTACAATTCTCTCTAAATAGCACTTTTTAGGATGTGGTGTCCTATTATTATTATTATTATCTATGTTGCATTCATATTTTAACTTTATAATATTTATGTTGTATAGCCAGTAGCAGATCTGTAGGTTTCATTGCTAGTATATGGACCTCATTTATCAACCTAACTAAAAAAAAAAGTGTCCCTCTTGCATGGAATTTTAATCAAGTGGAAGGGCTGAGTGAAATAAAGAGGTGTGATGGATGGTGAGGAGTGTTAGGATATGTGTGGGAGGAGTCCTAACCGCATTTAGATTCTTAGCATTCATCTCCACTTACAGTTCAAGCAAAGCTGCAGTGACACGGTTTATAGGGTTCAGTAAACCCTACTGGAAGCAAATCTGCCATATAGTAGAATCCACTTGCACTAATCTCTTTTTAACAGCCCCACTGCATAGTTGACATGCTGTCCACAGGGCGGATCCTATAAAGCTCTGAATGCTAATAGAGCTTAGCAGCTTTTCAGACACCCTATTGCAATGTTGTTTTAAAAATGTATTTAAACCCCAAAACATTTTATTTTCACTTGATAATGCTGGAAATAACATACTTTCTGTCCCTGGGTAACTACACTCACGTACACAACTGTATCTGTGGAGGAACCATGCCTGTCACCCAGGCTGCACTTCAGTTATGTCTTTCTCTCTTCATATCCATGTCATGGCTAATGGGGGTTTGCAGAAGGAAAATACAATTATTTGTGCTTTCAGTTTAGTTCACAGGAAGTGACAAACACACTGCATGTTTGGCAAGATCAATAACTATTTATATACTTGCTGAATATGCCACTATATCTAGGGACTGGTATGCAGCAATATATTACATGTTTGCTCATATGTTTTTAGATATCCTTTAAGTGGCAATTTAAAAGCAGCCCCTTGATGTCCATGTATTCCTACCCCTCTTTTAACTGACATTTTGCAGCTGCTGGAAAAAGCAATTAAATAATTAAAAGTATGCTGCCCTCTAGATAAAAAGAGCATTCATTCATACAGTCTATTGTTGTGCAAGTTTAAAAATGAAATCAAGTATCTGATTGGTTGACATGGGGTATACTTTTTAGTTACCCACTGTAATTTTTTATACTTTAGGTCTTTCTCCTGGCCATCGGCATTGTGCTGATTTTTCCTACATTATTCCCATAGTACTGGAAGAGCGGTATCAGTAAATCCACTCTGTAACAGCTATATTCTTGCTCTGTATCTTGTTAATTGTGAGCACTGCGGAATGAGCTTGGGACAAAGCCACATACTAGACACAATGCTCACCTCTGATAAATAAAAAAAAGCCATTAAAAAGCACTTTTGATTAATAATAACATACACTGTGTACTCATTTTGCTTACTGCTCACTAACCAGAACTCCCCACTGCTATGAAAGTGTCTTCATCATGTGGAAAAAGCTGCTTATGCACATACCTGAGGCATGCACAATGTCTTCTGGGATTTTTCCCCCATTATTGACCATAGAAGGACAACCATTACGATGGTGACTGTATTGTATGTCTTTAATCCCTGTGAGTTAATAAATGTTTTATATAGTTTGGATTGTGCAGAAATTAAACAATGACTTGGAGTGGCTATAAAAAAGTCAAGTATGGAGACAAATCAAAAGCAGATCATTACAACAGAGAAAAGACTGTGTAAATTAAGAGCACTGTAACTCTACAAAGAGGGTTCAGCAAAAGTGTGGGTGGAATTATTTTACATTTGACATGCTGTTTTTGCTGCAGTCAGCACCCCTGTATATTGTATTTTGCTCTAATGATTATATACAAGCGCTCAGAGCTAACTTGAAGTTTAATTTCCAACAGTGTAGGAACAGGGGTAGCGGAATTATGAAGTGTTATTGGGCCTATAGTGCCTTCAGGGCATTGCCTTAGACTTATTTGTTTTATGTGCCATACCACACACACACACACACACTCCTCTATAAGCCCCAATGTTCTGGGTGCATTGTACAGTGGTGCACCACTCCAGGATTGGGTGAGCAGGCACAATTGCTGCAGATATGGTCTGCCTGCTACCCAACTTATGGAACAAGGGACATATTATGCATTCTTGTCCAACCATGTTACCATCATATAAATAGGATGGCATGGGTAGAATAGTTAATTAAATGGGGTAAAAAGAATGATCTGAATCTCTGCAGGGACTTACCAACATGTTGGATAATCTCTGTAGACATTAACAAGCACCTCCATTGCTTTCCTGAGCTCCTTTTAGTTAGCCACTTATCTTGAAAATTGGCATTTCCAGCTATACTGGCTGGTTTGTGCATTATTTGGTGAAATTAAACTGGTGTAAATGCCTAGTTTTATTTAAATCACTGCTTATTATTTTCAGTTACAGGGTTACTAGATGGCCATTGTCTACCAGATTGCTGTGGGAAGCTGCAACATTTACTGTTGCTCCAGTTTTCATAAATCCATCCATCCATCCATAACATAAGTGCCTTCTTCTAGCAATGAGACAGCCCTGTCCGCAGAGTTTGCATTGAAAGTAGGACTGTCAGTGATAATGTGATGAAGCTTTACAGCTTAGTTTACCTCCGTTTATATTAGGGATGCACCGATACCATTTTTTCCAGACCGAGTACCGATACTCTTCCTCAGGTATTCACCGATACCAGTTACCGATACTTTTTTGTGTCCTGTGAAAGATTTTCTACAACATTTACAGACTAATGATTTCAGGACAGTGCCAGGACCCGGTCCTAGCTGCAAACACTGCGACACCGGTAGTTCTGCCTCTGACTCCAAGCTGTAGAGGGACTACAAATCTCAGCAATACATTATACAACAATGCAGACTACCACCAGTTAGAGAGGACTACAAATCCCAGCGATACATTATACAGCAATGCAGAATGGCAACCAGCCATAGAGGTACTACAAATCGCAGCAATGTATTATACATCATTGCAGAATAATATGCAGCTACATACTCTGTGCTGCTCCGTGATGCTGGTCTGATATCAGGAGACTGCGGGGTCTGTGGTGGGCTGCATGGACTCTGTGGTGGGCTATGTAGGGTCTATGGTGGGCTGTGCAGACTCTCAGGTGAGCTGTGCAGTTTCGATGGTGGGCTGTGCAGACTCTCGGGTGGGCTGTGCAGGGTATATAGTGGTCTGTGTGGACTCTTAGGTGGGCTATGCGGGGTCTATGATGTGCTATGCGGGCTCTCAGGTGGCTGTGCAGGTTTTATAGTGGGCTGTGCAGACTCTCAGGTGGGCTTTGTGTGGTCTGTGATGTGCTGTGCAGGCTCTCAGGTGACTATGTAGGGTCTTTGGGCTGTGCGGGGTCTATTGTGGGCTGTGCGAGGTAATGGTGGGCTGTGCAGCTTTCAGGTGGCTATGCGGGGTCTATGGTGGGGTGTACAGGGTTAATGGTGGGCTGTGCGGTTCTCAGGTAGCTGTGTGGGATTAATGGTGGGCTGTGCATCTCTATGTTGGGCTGTGTGTGGCTAATGGTGTGCTGCGCGGCTCTATGCTGGGCTGTGTGGGGTTAATATTGGGCTGTGTGGTCTGTCCTGGTCGGTCTCGGCGGCAGCATGAAGTAGGAAGAGATTTTTAACTGGCGCTGTAAACAGGTGACACCGTTCACAGTAAGGCTTTTGGGAGCTTGCTGGGGACCTCAGCAGCCTTCCTGTTATGTGCGGCGCCTGTTTACAGCACCTGCTTCGGTTTAAAAATGTAAATTGCCGATATCGGTGCCTAGTATCTGGACATTTTCACGTGTACGAATACCAGTATCGGTGCATCCCTAGTTTATATCCTACTAGGAAGAGCATGCACTGCTCCTTGTACAAGGATGCTGATTGCACTGCCTGACATATGTACAAAAGGGAGAGAAAAATCTGTTTATAAAATGTAAAGTAAAAACTGCAATTCAAAATAATTTTAGTTCTGATAAAAAGAACACACAATAATTGAGTACATCCTGTGTCTCTTTTAGCAGAAATGTTTGCCTATATGAACCACTTTCTTTCTCTTTACTTAGGTTTGGCAAATCCCAGATTACACACCAGTGCGGTCAATAACGGAACCCATTGTGACACTAGAGGGTCATTCAAAGAGAGTAGGCATTGTCACGTGGCACCCGTCAGCCCGCAATGTGCTACTCAGTGCAGGTACGTTAAAACAAACAATGTCCTTTAAGAACATTGATAGGTTATTTGTGAAAATCAATATGGCTATTTGCCTGATTTCCTGCCCTCCTGTGTTCACATAGCTAAATTACATTTTCAGCAAATGTAGGGAATAGAATGTGCTGCAGATTTATTTTTCCATGCTGGTTAAAGGCTTCTTACAGTTGCAGGGTATGAACTATTATATAGCTAGAAATTCTATAATGAAAGTTACAGAAGCTCTCTCCCAAAATTGTACCATAGCTGAGCTCACCGTAGTTAGCGACATATTTTTTTCTTGTATTGCAAATTGGATGCTTTTAAAGTTGATGCATCTGTGCTCTTTTGTTAGGTAGCGATAATGTTATTATTGTCTGGAACGTGGGAACCGGTGAGGCTGTTATCAGTTTAGACGAGATGCACAGTGACCTCATCTATAGCATCGGCTGGAACTACAATGGAAGTCTCATCACCACCACCTGCAAGGATAAAAAACTTCGAGTCATCGATCCACGGAAACAAGAAATAGTGGCTGTAAGTAACAATCAAACCAATAGTTAATCTCTTCTATCTTCTTTCTACTGTGCACTTATAAAGAGGGTGTTTTTTTCTACACATGAAATGTAAGACCTTTTCCCCACAAAACATCATTTTTTTAAATCTTTAGATGTAAAGTTCCTAAACTTACATAAAAATAACATTTTATTTCCAGAAGTAAGCTGACTGCACCATGGCTCAGACTGGCAATTTGAAAGTTTTTTCTATTTGCCAGAGTAAGAATATTTGTTAGCAGGATTGAGTTCATTGAGGGATGCTCCGTAGTAGACGTGTAGTAACTTAATATTAAAATAGTACTATGCTAATTTAGAAGTAGTTGTATGACATAAAATGTATAGCTCCACTGATTATTCTTTAAATATTCTTGCTATCCAGTTGGTCTGGCACTGTTGCTCATTGTGAACAATGGCCACCCATATTACAATTACCATTAGATGTACCAGTAGCTGTGTAATGTAAGGACCTGCCTGCCTTATATAATGTAAATTTAATTAATTGTTTAAAGCCCAACTTCGGGATCAGGTCCTTATCCCAATGCTAGCCCCACACCCCTTGGAGCACCCTCTGCACCAAAACATAACTTTCTATACCTGACTTTTTCCAGAGATCTTCAGGTCTGGTCCAATGATGTCAAAGGTCCTCATCGCCCTCTAGTTCCTCCCGTGGTGGTTGCACCCTAAAGGCTGTAGAGAGCATGGTTTTGCCATCTGCAGCACTCCTTCTTTGAGTCCAAAGTAGGTGGAGCCTGTATGCCCTGGGCTTGCAGGAAGTGGATAAACTTCCTTTCCCGGAGGACAACTACATTTAAAAAAAAATATTTAAAAAATTGACTTTCAAAGTAAACAATGAATTAATTTCTTCTTTGCAAATTATAATGTATATGTATTTAATTTACAGCCCTGATGCATGGGGCCTTGACAAGGCATACATTGCACGCTGAATTTTTAGATGTCTTTTGCTGGGATTGGAGTGATTTCTTGTGTATCTGCTTTTCTGATATAATGTTTTATTGTTTATTTTCTGTAACTATCTTTGATATGTATCTCTATATTAACTATTATAATCTTATGTAAGATGCATGATATGCATGTGTTTTATGGTTGTGCAGTATATAGTGACTAGGATTGACTTGCTTGCTTTATTGATTTATATATTTCTTTAACACAATTCTTAAGAAGTTTTAGATTTGTTAAACATGTACACCTGCCCCTATGCTAAACACTTGCTGGACTGCACACTTTCTCTATGGCAATGATACTCATACTTTGGTCAGTTGAATCCCACCAACATAACCCATGCAATATCTGATTACCACCTACAGTTGTCAATATTTTGATTTTATGGTGACTCTCCATGTTTTATGTGCTGCAATCTGACACTGCTTGAACTATATCTTGCCCAGGGGCGGACCTACCGCCAGTGCAGCTGGTATGGCAGCGCCAGGGCCCGAGGCTGGGGGGGGGGGGGGGGCCAGTGAGATCTGTTCCCAGGCACCCCCCAATGGTGGACTATGGGGAAGTGCAGTGCAGAGGGGGGAGGGGTGTCCGACAGGGCTTCTGAACGGGGGGTGTTCCCACTCTGATTCCGGGTCGCGTCGCATCTCTAGTAACAGGCCTGGGGGGAGGGAGAGGGGAGAGCCGGCCAGGTAGTTTGCAGGTGCCAATAGAACCAGAGGAGAGATGTGAAGGGAGCCAATACCGCTCAGAGATTCCTGTGTATATAGAGATCACTGTGTGCTATACTCTGCACTGTGTATATAGAGATCAGTGTGTATATAGAGATCACTGTGTGCTATACTCCCCACTGTATATGTAGAGATCCAGGGGCAGACCTACCGCTGGTGTAGCTAGTGCAATGGCTTTCTATGGGGTGGGGGGTGGAGTGGGGAACGGGTTTCTGGGTGGGTAAGGGGGGGTCTGAGAAAAATTCTTGCACCAGGGCCCTTTGTTCCTTAGGTCCTCCACTGATCCAGCCCTGCCTCACTCAGTTCAGCCATCCCTCCCTCATGATTCCACATGGACATTCTCTTCATGTCACTTGCACATTCATTTCCCCCATGGAGTTATCACATGGAAAATTGTATTTCAGCCTCATATAATTACATCTAAAGTTTCACATTATATCTATAGCTAGTGGACACGTTATTTGTTATATTTTGTTACTTATGTATTTTTTTTGCTTCTTTCGCCCTCTTTATTTATATTCTGTTCCCATTTTGTTTAAAGAAAATGATCAAACTTTACTTCTCAGTGTGTCACTAAATACCTAAGTGGCTAATGTGATGTGTTTGTTAGTGTGACACTAATTTAATGCATGTTTGTGTTTTCAAATTGCTGTGATGAACTTAACCTGCTAACCAACAACTAGGAGAAAAGTGGGCCACATGAAGGGGCTCGACCAGTCAAAGCCATTTTTACATCGGAGGGCAAAATATTCACCACCGGTTTCAGCAGGATGAGTGAGCGTCAGCTGGCGCTGTGGGATCCGGTATGAGAAGGTGTTCTGCATGTTTATTTACTCTATCTATAAATGTCATTATTTATACTGACTTCCTGAAGTCTGCAGTCATACCAAGGTGACACCTAACTTGATGATGTAATGAGCATCTTTTCATCCTAATAGTTAAATGGTGTTGATATTGAAATTAAATCCTGTTGACATCTGTGTGCTAAAAATCCATGGGACCTCCAATTTGCCACTGCACTGCCAGATGTTAAAAAGTGTCCTCTTGGGGTGCTTTTCATAACAGCTAAAAATACAGCTCGGACAAACTACAGCAACAAATTGACATCCACAGCACTAGCACCAATATATTTCTGTTTCAATACTTTACCCCCATGCAGGGCTATAGATTTAATGAGGCCAAATTAGACAGCTGCCTCAGGTGCACTCATGGAGACACGGTGGGAGTGGCACTAAAGTCAAAGTGTCAATGCCGGTCACTCTATCCTCAGTGCCACGAAGTAATGCTGAGCCTGATAAAATCAGAGGCTCAGCAATATTGAGGTCCCACCCCAGCCTCTCCGCCTGTCTCACAGTAACGTAGGGCCTGTTAAAAGTGCAGGTTCAGACGCACTAAGCACAGAGCTGCTGATTGTGTGACACATGCAGTGGCTGGGCAGAGGTTTTGCGCACAACAGGCTCCACATCACTCAACTAACTACACTACTGCGGCCATCTTTTTAATTGGCATCTGCCCACATGCAGTTGAACACATGAGAAAATTGGACATTGTGAAACAGTCCTTACTATAGACTGGTTTGTCCCATTAGCTGCTGGTTAATGTAATGCATTGTTATAGAACATTTATTGCAAACCAAGTGGTATACATTTTACACCAACTGAGAATATGATGAGCAAAACACTGTACCGATTGCCTTTAATTAAAAAAAATTGCATGTTAGTATGGTCAGAAGATCCAGAGATCTAGGCAGCTCAAGTTAGTATGGTCAGGAGATCCAGATATCTAGGCAGCTCAAGTTAGATGCAAATCTTAGCTTTTAATGTAAAGGTTTGTTAATGTGGCCACCCATTATATTAAATAATCCATATGGTGATTCAAGAGGTAGGTGAGGCCAAGTCTGACTTTTATAGAAGTTTAGCTTTGCATATAATGTAATCAACCTAAATTTTAATATCTACTGATATTTTACATGGATTTTTCTTTGAAAGTAACATCTCCTTTAGAAACTTCAGTGTAAAGATGTTCACTGTAAGATCATCTCAAGGACCTCTAAAAAGACATGAGGGCAAGCTTTGCAAATTGAACAAAATAGGTTTACACCTTTACTGTAATGACTGGGGAGTTGAGGTGCTTAGTAACTGGCGCTTGCAGACTTAACTCTTCCAGTAGATCTTTTTGTATAGTACTTCATTATTTCTATAACTAAAAAGCACAAAATAAAACAGCAACTAAAATCTTTAAGACATAGCATCATAGAATGTTCACCCAGGGGAATATTAAATTGCCTTGGAAATTCAGGAAGGAATGATATCCTAATTCTGCACACTCTAATCTGGGACAAAGCAGACAAAACCAAGAAAAAAAATCCGGTAATTAGTATTTCATCTGCAAACAGGATGTGCTGGGAACTTCTGAAGCTCACTTTTAAAACAAAGATCTACCAAGTGTACAGTACTTGATAGATGATTGAAGGTTTTTGTCTTGTTTAAAGTTCTTCACTTCTGGGATCCCAATCATCCTACTTATTGGACTTTAGGCTCTATAGCTCCGTTTTTATTGAATAATACCTTGTTCCTATTGCAGTTTAACAAGATGGCTTTCAATGCCGTGGCCATGAAACAACAGTGTAAATGTTACCTGTACACAGTGGAGGTCAGAATTGTGAAGATGGAATCGGTATGCACACAATCTGTTCAATGTTATCTGAGGATATCAATTATTGTAACTGAACAGATTGACTGCGTTCTCGTAAATGTCACATTTGAGTTTTATTAAATAGATTATAATAATCAAAGTGAAGCAGTAATTATAGGAACACAATAAACTCCAAAGCTGGCTATATGTTCAATAATATATAAACACTAGGAAAAGATCTGAGCATGAAAATATATTTTTTTATCACCTGTTGCTCAAATAAACATTATTAATTTGCCCTTTAAATTGGTCTGTAGTTCTAGCCTGTCACTGCACCTATAACAGAGAAGATGGGGAGGCAGACAAAAGGATCAATAATCAAGTTTTTACCCATTGTTACTATTTAGATGATGTTATCTGTTAGGTCTTTATACCATACACATTGCTTGGTTATCTTCTAACTCAGGTTGAGGACATTGGTGACATTGCTGTCACTTTGAAATTAATTAAAAAATAGTAACCGTGCAATTTGAAAACAATGGTTAGAACATCTTGGCAGAGATGTCAGCAGTTTCTGGGTTCTTGATAGATCTATGTAGCTCTCCCTCCAGGGTCACCTTGGGAACTGTATCTGCAGAGGATTAGGAGCCAGTAACACACTGTCTTGTGCCTCCTGCCAGGACAGTGAGCCTTTGTGTCTAAAAACATGTTATGACCAGTTTGTTTTCCACCTTACCTCTCCCCTTCACCTTCACAGGAGAAATGTGCCCCCCACGAGGGGATGAGACCTATGCGAGCCATCTTTACCAAAGATGGGAATATCTTTACAACTGGCTTTACACGGATGAGTCAGAGAGAGCTGGGCTTATGGGACCCGGTAATGACAGCCGCAATGCTTAGTCAAAGGAATTTGATTGCTATTGTCACTGTTTCCAAAGCATATGGCCAAGATTGTGTCCCTTTACTGTCCGTTTGCTAGAGCACTCATAAAATGCTGGTTATTACAGCTATACTTCAGCGTTGGTAGAACCCATATTTTTTTTCTGGGGCCCACTCCTAATTATAGGAAGCAATTTATGGTTGCAAGGGAAGAAGATGGTTTTCTAAGGTAAAATAGTTAATATGCTGAGCAATTCAACACATCTATACCTTTCCTAGTTACTCTACGTATATAGTCAAATATCTATTACCGTTATTTGTCAGCTTTTCCCAAACAACTCCATTAAACAGGGTAGTACATCATGGAACAAATCCAAAATCCAAGGTATATCTCACCAATTATGAATAATGTAATGCCAATCCAGAGTCACACCTAATGACCTGTTTTCTCAAGTTGCCCCATGTACTAGCTGAGCCACCCAACATTGTTTTCATTTTCCATATTTCTGATCTTGATCTACTTTACATTGCCCTGACTTCTGTCAATTCTGATCACTCAGTAAATGGAAAGTAATGTCAGAGGAACTGTGAATGGTATATATTATTATTAATAAGAAGATTTGTTCCTGTATGGACATTAGATTTCCCAACATGATGCTTTTGCTTACAGTGGCTAATAGCAGTGGAAATCCTGGCTTCAGAATGCAGTGTGTCAGCATGGCATATGCAGATATCTCTGGCCATGCTGCAAAGCATGATGGATATGACCAAGTTAACAAAGTAACAGCTGAAGATGTTTGTGGTGTGCGAATTTCAGAGTCCTAAATATTGTCAAATCTAAAGTTTTGTTTTTCAGTTGTATTCATTAATATTTCTTACTATGGGGCACAACATATCAGGGTAATAAAAGGTATTGGTAGAGACTGTCCAAAAAAATTATCTTCCTTCCATTCTTTCCTTTCTCTCCTTTCATTTCCTTCTTTTTCTTCCTTCCCTTTCTTTCTGTTCTTTCCTTCCTCCCTAATCTAATTCTATGTCAGCTGTCCATTACTAATGATATTAAAACATGTACGTGTGGTGTATATGATTGCTGGGGCAGTTTGCAAACACTATATAGAGAGCTGTGTGAGGGAATTGCCCTCTTAAAGGGACATTAAACCCTCAGATTTTTTAACATAAAACAATACTGTAATGTGTGCCTTACTGTAATCCATGGTAGTTTCCCTTCTCTTTGCTGCTCTTCCTTTTAAATCTATCTCTTCTCATGCTGGGCAGAACTTTTGTTTTGCAGCAGACTGCCTTGTCTCTGAAATGGATACATGGTGTCTGTGTGAAGGTTCACAACCTGAGCCAGCACTACAGGAAGAGGCACTCAGCTGCAAAGGGAAATTCTCCCCCAGCATGAGAAGAGAGAAGGATTTAAAAGGAAGAGCAGCAAAGAGAAGGGAAACAACAATGGATTACAGTAAGGCACACATTACAGTATTGTTTTATGTAAAAAAATCTGAGTGTTTAATGTCACTTTAAATGGTTGTCACTGGAACCACTGTCCCTTTTTAGAAGATTTTACCTATATTCCTCTTCTGGCGACAACTCAAATATAACCGTCTCTTTCTGTCCCAATGACCATGGTTTTGAAGAAAATAGAGAAGGTGGCTCTCCCTAATGGGGACACAGACAGCAATAAAAACCTGATGGGTGTTCTAAGTTTTCTCTACTTTATTCAAAAACTAAAAAAGGAGTGGTGCATTTATACAGGTTCCTAATTGTTTTAATCGTCCTAATCATTTATTCACACAAGATTAAAACAGCTTTCACTCAGGATTTATCCTTTTTTCCCCATTAAATCCAATTTAAAAATGTGTAAATTTTGGGTGAATGCTCTGTATATCTTGTGCAAAAACATTAATAAAAAGACCCCTAAGTGTCTTTTTTTTAAAATTAAAGTGTTGTGTTTTTTTGAAACCACATTGGTTTCACTTACCTGATGTATAAAATTGTGCTCACACATACTGTCAGTTTTCAATAACACTGTTTTTATTGAGAATTCGTACAGGGCCGGATTTACTCTCTCTGGTGCTCCAAGGCCGGGTTCCTCTGTTCCTGCTTGCTGTGGGCAACACATTTAATCTTATTCTCTGAGGTTCTCATATAAAAGGCTCACTGATCTTTATGTTGCATCAATAGAGTTTTATCACAGAGGCATCAGAAACATTATTACTTTGTTTAAAATCTCTTCAGATCTAGTAGTGTGACCTAACTAAAAGGAAACCAAAGGCACTCAGTGTCCAGAAACAATTATTGTCCAAGATATCTAGTATACTAAAGTGATAAACAATATGAACCCTGCAGAATTTACCATGAGGTACAGTATGCACCTGCCTATAGGCAGCAGAGGCAAAGAGGCGGCCTTGCCTGGTATAGTTTATGGGGGGAAAAATTTCCTCATCAGTGCACATACAATCATTATATATAAGCTCATTTACAACTTGTCACTATATTGTAAGCCAAATTAGAACCAGTATAAGAAGAAAATGTTCTGTTTAACGGGTTGATCATACTGTGCAAAATTACTTTCAACATCAAAGATTGTGCGCCTTACAGGCGCCCATGATGAAAATCCGGCTCTGCAATCCTTTGAGCAGTGGTTCACCATTCTATATAATCTACACTCTGGACTAATGTAGAAGGACTTCATCAATAATGCAGCAGTTTCAAAGCCACATTAGATTCAGGGAGTACACAAAGCTGCACCAGGTAGTGCATGTTCAGGATTTGGTAAAGTTTCAAAGAGTAAAATGGTCCTCTTACAGGACAGTACTGAATCCGTACATATAGAATTGAAGTTTTCAATGACTTCAGTATTGGATGTAGCTCCCTCTTAGGCCATCTGGGCATTAGAAATCACTCTGTGAGTGTGGCTTGTAGATATGCTTTACATAATCTCCTCTTTTTGTCACCACTGACCCAATTTACAACTCTTTCCCTTCACCAAAAAAGTCAGTGAAGTGCAAACCTTTAACAGTTCTGAGCTTATTTGTTTTTTAAATGAAGTGATAAAATTAAATGCCTCTTTGTGTTTGTTGTTTTACAATGTTGCACCTGAAATATTTCATATACTGTTCAGAAAATAAATATATCCTTATCATTTTATCTCCTTGCTCTTTTTAATAAACCATTTACATTTCTCAGTGGAGATGTTTTGCTGGAAACATTCCATCTACTGGTCATCGCCAAATATATCATCGATGTAACTTTTAAATATGCAACTGTGTAAGCAAATAAGAATGTGGTGACTCACACACCATGTCACTGAAATAAAAAAGGTTGTTTTAATTTCGTCGTAAATTGTATTTTTTCGTCGTAAATTGTATTTTTTTTTTTCTGATCTTGGAGCTCATATTACAAATTTTCCTATTTTCTCTTGTAATATAACCCCTTTAGATGGAAAGATCAAAGAGAGAAAACTTAATGATGGTGGTCAGCATGAAATCATAGAAGTGCCATAAAAGTTTATAGGCGCACAAACCTATGGCTGGGTGTTCCTTCTCAGTCTTAATAATTTATAAATGATTACTAAAGTAATGTGGTTAAGTGCCCCTGGTTTTCACTGTTAACCTAATAGTCGAATTGTACTATAAAATGTAATTAGCAATAACCATAACTTTGTTTTTTAGTTCTGGACAGAATGGTAATTAAATGCCACTTAGGTGGGTTTTTTCCATTTTGTTTTTATTTTTATTTGTGTCCCATAAGGGAGACCTCCACTCACTTTCACTCCTGTAAACACAATATTAAGTGAAAGGACATATTTCCAAAGTATTGGAACAGGTTCCTCCATTGAAAGGCTTCCTCTTCCTTTCTGTTGCAGAGACCATTCATATTTTGGCTTTTCCCTCACTTTCAGTCCTGGTGACAATTCTCACCCAGACAAATAGAGAAGGGAATCTCCTCAGTGGGGAATAACACAACAATAAAATCCTCCCTGAGGTTCTAACCACCCCTGCTCTATCCAAAACTTAAGAAAAGCTTTAGATATTCCTAAATTATTTGTTAACAAATGAATGTTTGTTCATTAAGGACTGGTGTGCCATTGGTTGATGTGCAGTGTGACAGACAGCTTTCCTTTCAAAATGACATCATGTCTGTCCTGTTTGTTGCCTATAGAGTAACTTTGAAGAACCTATAGCTTTACAAGAAATGGATACCAGTAATGGTGTACTGCTACCTTTCTACGATCCTGACTCCAGTGTGGTTTACCTTTGCGGCAAGGTAATATATTTGTGTTGGATGTTTGTTCTTGTTTGATTTAAGGAGGGGCATTCTTAAATCTCTGCTTACAGAGACCCCGTATCCAGACCATTAATTTCAACAATAATCTTCCCATGGGATTATAGGTGTGTTTAACATATTTTAGTTATGTTATTTACATGTAAAAACCTTACTTGTGTAGACATTCAAAAGCCCTAGAACTGCTGCTGGGTGTCACCATGTTGGATGTGATGTCAGCAGCCTCAGAGCTGTTACTCAACACTCTATAGTACTTCCTTTCCCTGGTAGCTACATGAAAGCTTATGTAGGGAGGTGAGGGGTGGATTTGCTGAGCCAACACAAACAGTAATTGGACACTCCCAGAAGAGGAGAGGGCCAGAACATTCGAGATAGGAGAGGGCTGTGCTAGGGGATTGACTTTTCTGAAGCCAAATTCAGAGGCACATTGCAAGTAAATACAAAATTGTTTAGGGAACAGAAAAATGATGCAAGTAAGCATTTCTGACATCCTGGGTCTATGTAAGATTGCTGTATGTGGGTGGTCCTTACTTTTTAAGGCAAGAAGTAGTTGCCTTAAAAAATTGTTTTGAAACTGTAAAGGGAGTGCCTGTGTTAAGATTTAGGTGGTCTGCTATGCATATACTGGGTGGCTCTCACATGTGTCACAGTTTTATTGGATGACCACTACCTTTCTGATACTCAGATGAATTGTTTGAAAATAAATATGTTTATGATACAAATGTATTATAAGGCTTTATGTGTGCAGTTTTCTAGCTGCACTGTCAGTCTAAGCTAGAATACATCTATTTAGCAGAGGAATAGTGTAATTTAGCTACATCAATACCATAACAATAACGTGTGTCTTGGTGGTGAACATAAATTATAGAAATTGATTAATAGATCTTCAGGTCTAAATAATTAATAGGACTTCCGATAGGTATGTAATCTTAGACATTTGTGCAATTTCATTTGATGTGTGGATCCTGCTTTATTTATTTATTTATTTTATTTTTCTTTAAATGCTTTCTCAATCACAGCAGGTACTTGTGATAGTATACTTGCTATTTTTAGGGATATATTTTGAAAATGGATGAAACAGATGTACTATTTCCATTGCCTTGTTTTAGGGTGATAGCAGCATTCGATACTTTGAGATAACAACTGAAGCTCCCTATGTCCATTACTTGAGTACGTTCAGCAGTAAGGAACCTCAGAGAGGAATGGGTTTCATGCCCAAGAGAGGCTTGGATGTCAGTAAATGTGAAATTGCAAGGTAAGCTGAAGGGGTCTAGATGGGTTGGTAGAAATGGGCAATGACAAGGATGCTTGGTCTAAGTATATCTATAAGTGAAGGGAACTCTTAAGGCATCAGCTTAACAAGACATTTTGGACAATTTCATGCTCCCAACTTTTTGGGAACAGTTTTGGGATGGCCCCTTCCTGTTCCAACATGAGTGCACAAAGCAAGGTCCATAAAAACATGGATAAATGAGTTTGGGGTGGAGGAACTTGACTGGCCTGCACAGAGACTTGACCTCAACCCAATAGAACACCTTTGGGATGAATTAGAGCGGAGACTGCGAGCCAGGCCTTCTCGTCCAACATCAGTACCTGATCTCACAAATGCGCTTCTGGAAGAATGGCCAAACATTCCCATAGACGCACTCCTAAACCTTGTGGACGCCTACCCAGAAGAGTTGAAGCTGTTATAGTGGCAAAGGGTGGGCCAACTCAATATTGAACCCTACGGACTAAGACTAGGATACAATTAAAGTTCATGTGCGTGTACAGGCCGGCTTCCCAATACTTTTGGTAATATAGTGTGTGTGTGTGTGTATGTATATGTATGTATGTATATGTGTATGTGTATGTGTGTGTGTGTGTGTATGTGTATATATATATATAGATAGATAGATATATATATATACGGAGCAGTTTGTACACCAATGAGGAGGTACCATTAACCTGTATACATGTTTTTTTATCATAGCTCAACAAGACCAAAGTGGGACTTTATAGATATTACAATTGCGTCAGAACATACTTCTAAAATTCATAGGTCTTTTATTCATACCATCTTTAAAGAATAAAATGGATGAGATATCATTATTATATTTTTGCAATTACATATATGAAGCAACATTCCTCTCCCAGACATCCATCATTGCATGGTCAACCATATACAACCATTTGCAGATCTTGATATGAGTGAGGTGATGGGCTGTACTAGATATTTGACACTTCCTATACATGTCTTCAGAGTTGCCTTTGCAGAGATGGCACTTTGGGGGATCCTATTAGACATGCTGTATGTTTATCTGTCTTTATCTGTCTATTATTATTATTTGCCCAAAGCCTCCTGTGATTGGTGGGTCCTACCTTGTTAGACTGTATTATAGTGATGGGCCAAACATCCCCTGTTCGGTTCGAATTCGAACTTTAGAACATGGAAAAAGTTCGAACTCAATGCAAGTCTATGCGGGTAGAACTTTGAAAATGAATTGACCCCATTTTGAAGGCTTATATGCAATTTATTGGCCATAAAAAAAGGGTATGGGAATTCGGGTACTGCCCTGGGGGACATATATCAATGAAAAAAAACCTTTTAATAAATACAGTTTTTAAAGGAGCAGTGTTTTTAACATTACTTAAAGGGAAACGATAAAAATTCATTTAAATATCATACCTGGGGGGTCCCCTTAAACTGCCTGCAAAGTGGCGCATCTGTACAATGTAAAGAAACCTGCAGCAGCAAAAATTACATTTATAAAGAAAAAAATGACATTAAAAAAAAAATAAAGCAGGCGGTTCCCCCTCCTAAACAATACCAGACCCTTTACGTCTGGTAGGAATGTTAGGAGGAACCCCATTTAAAAAAGAAAAAGGGGAAAAAAAAGCTTGCGCTTCCCCCCAAAAGTCATACTAGACCCTTAAGGTCTGATAGGAATTTTAGGGGGGACCCCATATCGTTGGTTGTGGGGGTGGGGGCATGGGGCTTATTCACATCAGGGTACCTCTTTAATAAAGAGGCACCCATATGTGGCCCCCCTTCTGAATAAGTAAGGGGTACATGTACCCATACCCATTCACGAAAGGGTTAAATACAAGTTTTAAAAAAGAGGCCAGACTTTTTTGTAAAAATCCTTCAATTGAAAATAAACCAAAAGACAAGTTTTTGACAAGTCTTTTATTGTAAAAAAACAAATAAAAACAAAAATGGATCCACCAACGTAATCCAGGGTCAATCACGACATCCAGTGTTGTCCAGGACGACGACGACTCAACTAAATAAAAAATAAAATATTAAACAATAAATAGAAATAATAATTTTTAAAAACGACGCCCGCCGTCCTGTCTGCTCGCAACGAACTCCCGCCACAGAATGCCATTTTGACAGATGCCAGCAACATATAAACAATTGGGTGGAGCTAGCTGTGACAGCTAACTCCGCCCAACTGTTTACAGTTGTATGGCATCTGACAGGTGTGCCATGATGACTGCCCAATCATGGCTCTTACCGAGTAATGGGCCCTGATTGGACAAAGTCTTGCACCTGACCTGCGGTCAGTATAAAGGCTTTAGCCAATCAAAGCTCCCAAGGCACTGTGCCTTGTGGGGCGCTCAGCAGCCGAAAACACAAACTACCAATGTTTGAGTCAAACTCACGCTCGACTTGAACATCAAGCCCATCCCTACTGGATATATGCCAATTTCAGCGGTGATAGATTAACCATATGGGTACCTCTTCTATCCTCTATGGCTCCACCTGGTGCCGAAAGGGATGCTTTCTGTGCACATGGAGGGCATAGATTTGTTTTAATTGGCTAATGTCTACATATTAAATTCTTTGTAACAATATTTTTATGCTCCATCTTTCCTGAGGAAGTGGACCATAGTGTTCACACAATACATTGAATATCCAGCACAGTCCATCATATCATTGATACCAAGATCTGCAAATGGTAGTAATGATGGGCATCTGGGCAGAAATGTTGGTTCTTTTATGTATTTGTAAAAATGTAATAATGATATAAGCCATTTTATTTTACTTACGACATAAGTAAACAAATTGTGAATATTAGTAGTATTTCTTGATACAATTGTGGTACCTATAAAGTTCCATTTTGGTCTTGTTGAGCTATGATGGAATTTGCCAACACAATCTGTGTGCAATGAATTTAGGGTAGCTATCATAAAGCTGTGCAGTGACTTCTTCCATTCTCATGAGTCTAATAACGTTTATTACCCTTTCCCTAACTGATGGAGGGGTGATTAATCTACAGTGACTGGGAATTGGGGATCTAGCTGGTACCAGGCAAAATCTAAATAACCCGTTACAGGCCTTGGACATAGAGCCTGGTATTATGGAGAGAAAGGAAGCTTGAGGGGAAAATTGCCACAAAATACTGGTACACATTTGGGATATCTAAGAAACCATGTCCCGGAGTGTTTGTATGGGAACACATGACCACCATACCGGTAACACTGATCATCCTGGATTTCCACATTTTCTATATTGTCTGCAGTTATCAGAGGAGAATTAATTGAATAGTTATGTATCTATCAATTAACAACCTAAAAACTGTAAACAGAAAGAAACGAAATAAAATTAATATTTGATGTGTTCGCATTTGCCTTTAAAACAGCATCAATTCTCCTAGATACACTTGCACACACTTAAGGATTTTGCAGGCATAAGTACATGATTAAACAATTATAACAAACGGATGCTACTGATCAGCAACATCACTTGTAAAGCTGGCCATACACCTTACAATTATGTGCAGATTTTCTGTGGTCAGATGGAAAAGGTGCAACAGATTCCTCCATCTATGCTTAACTGTGTAGATGGAGTAATCTCCACCTGGGCCAATCTGTTGCACTTTTTCCATCTGACCACAGAAAATCTGCAGATAATTGTAAGGTGTATGGGCACCTTTAGTTAAAATACAAACCTTAAATCAAACCTAATCGGCTGTGTAGGAGGAATGAAACTGGTTGAAGAAAAGCCATGCTCTACTTGCAACCTAAAGTCACTGAAGACAAGTCTATTTAAAGAACCTTACACAACTGCAAGGCTGGGCACAGCAACGAAACCCAGGGTGGCCTTATTTCATCGACAAGGTCTCTCACATGCAGAAATTTCAAGAAAAGTTTTTCTAGATGTGCTGCCCAAATTTTTTTGCACAAGCGCAAAAAATCGAGTAGCCTTGACAGCCGAAAAAGCAGTGGTTGGCCAAGGAAACTTAGTGCAGCAGGTACAAGGCACATCATGCTGCCATCCCTTCACAAACAGAAGATGTTCAGTGATACCATCAGCTCAGATTTGGCAAAAACCAGTGGGACCCGGGTACACCCATCTACATTCTGGAGAAGTCTGATCAGAAGAATTTTGGATAAAAAGGCAACACCTCTGATGTTGAATCAATGCCAACGGACTCGCTTATGCATAAAAACAAAAGAACTGGTGTGCAGAAAAATGGCACTAGGTGCTCTGGAGTGATGAGTCCAAATGTAAAATATTTAGCTGTGACAAAAGCTAGTTTGTTTGCTGAAGGCCAGGAAAGCAGTACAGGGGTGTGTGTTTGAAGGCAACAGTGAAGCATGGTGGAAGTTCCTCACATATTTGGGGCTGCATTTCTGTACATGGCGTTGGGGATTTGGACAGAAGTGTTTGGTTTCCTCAATGCTGAAAAGTACAGTCAGGTACCTCTTCATAATACAATAATATGAGAGAGCGTCTGATCATCCCAAAATTTTCTGCAGCAGGACAATGAACCTAAACATACAGATAAAGTTAAAAAAATTCTATTTTTAGCAAAAAGAACAGGAGTCCAGGAACATAAAATATGGCCCATACAAAGCTCTTATCTCAACATGATTGAGTCTGTCTGGGATTATATGACGACAGAAGCAAATGAGCCATTTTAAATCCACAGAAGAACTGTGGTTAGTTCTCCTAGATAGTTGGAACAGCCTACCTGCTGAGTTCCTTAACTTTGTGCAAGTGTACCTAAGAGAATTGATGCTGTTTTAAAGGCACGTACTGTAGATATATAATTTTCTATATGGACATTTGGGACTATATTCAGATTTAGCTACAGATCATATTTTGGGCAATGATTTGATGACCTCTTGTGGACAGAAATGAATCTAGCAGTGAGGACTGAAGAGAAGCCATCGCTCAAATGCTAGTAAATGGGAAAATAAACATTCTAATGTATAAAGGGGGAACTCAACTTTTGCCTTGGGTCCCGCCTTAAAATCAACACCAGAGCCCTGTCTAGGTTAAGGGTTTTGGTATTGGTTTCTTACAATTATATTTTTAACACTTTACATTGGGGTTCCTTGAGACTTTGTATGCTTTTAAAAGGTGACGTGACTGAGAAAAAGTTGAGGAATGCTGGTCTACTTGACTCAATAATAATACATTTTTATACATATTTGTACAGGTTTTACAAGCTGCATGAGAGGAAATGTGAGCCCATTGTTATGACAGTACCAAGAAAGGTGAGCTATGTATAGTCTTATTAGGCAATTGTAAACCTTTAGTGGTCTTGTTTGGTGCTCCCTTTGTGCAGACTATGGAGAAATGTACTGTATATATACTGAGCAGTTTGCAAACCAATAGGTTCTTGTTTTGTGTCTTACAGTCAGACCTATTCCAGGATGATCTATATCCAGACACACCAGGACCTGAGCCAGCCCTGGAAGCAGATGATTGGTTTTCAGGACAGACTGCTGACCCTTTATTGGTATCGTTGAGGGATGGATATGTTCCTGTCAAAAACAGAGAACTTAAAGTCACCAAGAAAAACATTCTTGGCAACAAACCTCCAACTGCGCCACGTAGAAGCTACTCTTCCTGTGACTCTGGTTTCTCAGTAAGTTAGTCTTCTCCTTAGGTAAAGAGAGTCTTCACAGCTATAACATATCACTTTGTAAAGTAACAGATCTAGAGATATGTGCTGAAAGCTGAAATCAGGCTTGTAGTGAGAGTGCTTCCTCTACAGGCTGATGGATAGAAGGGGGAGGTGTTTATGTCACTAGTCAGAAGATGGAGCACTGGCTTGGAGTCTGTAAGGCTTTATATACTGCTGCCATCCTCGCCAGCCATGCTTACCTCACAATACAGAAGGGGGGCTGGATCTACTTTGGCAAGTAAAACTATTCCTTAACATGTTTTTATGTGTTCGTTGTGCCTTGCTGTTTTATTTTGAACAAGTTAATATGGTCACACACTTGTGCTCAAGGGAATGTTGTCACTGTAGGAGCAAAGACCATCAAAATAAAATAGGCCATAGTTGTCTTTGTTTCTACATCAGGTTCTATCAGCAAAGCTACGCTTCTAACACTAAGGGGTCTATTTATACACAATTTGTGGAGCCATTTGCCCTGTGAATCTCTGTGAATGTTTGTTCTGGGTGAATAAATGCAAAAAGGAATATTCTTAGTATATTTTCTTTTTAGATCACTGTACTGAAAGACCACATTATGGCCACTAGATGGAGCAGAGGAGCATGGCAAATAAGTCTTTCCAATGCTCTTCAGCTCCATCTAGTGGCCGTAATGTAGTATTACAACACATTACATTCAACATGAAAAGAAGAAGAAAATGCTAGCAAGGATTCCTTTATCAATGTGTGAGCACTAAACATAAGTATTGGTAATTGGAGTGGTCCAAATTCAATATTTTTATTAGATAAAATATCATGAAACATGCCAACATTTTTAAGGTGACCCAGAGACCCCTTCTTCAGGGTTTTTAAGTTTAGAATGCAGCCAGGGAGCTCCTGCGCTTCAAGTGTGTTGCATTTTACAAACTGTCCACTCCTAGAGAACCGTGGTACAGTATGTTGGTTAATCTTATAGCTGGCATTTCTTGTGTCTTCCAAAAGAAACAGATGCTACAAAGGAGAATGATTGACAGAAGAGAAGTAGGAGAGGATTTTGACTGTGATGAGGGAATAAGGGGATGATTTATTGCATCGTACTAGTACCATGCTTGTTTTTGGGGTCTGCAAAACAAGTGCTGACTTAATTGGTACAAAAGTCACTGATTATTGATCTAATAACTAATATTTCTATTCACTAGCGAGTCTCCCTTGAAGACCTACTTGAAGAAATCAAATGCTTGCGAGGCATTGTCGAGTCGCAAGATAAGCGCATCTCTAACCTGGAAAACCAATTGCATGTACTGTCCAATGGCACTGACTGAGCCGGACTGAGATTCCGCCATCCAACCCAGAATGCACTTCAAGAGTTACATGCCCTATTTCCTAGCAAGCAAATCTGATTATGTTTTACCAGAGGGGATGGAGCCAGCGCATGGACTCCTCAAGAACTGCCCCAAGTTCATGCTCTTCATTGTTAGGAGTCTCTCAGAAGAGGCCCACTTCCTGGGGATATGTTACTTCTGAGGGACTGAAGATAAATACTGTTTTATTCCAAAGTGCTAAAGGAATCCTCCATCTGCAGCCACACAGAGAGCTTGGTCATCAGGCTGCTTTGACTGACGATTGGGAGATTTGGCAGCCTGGCATTACAGCTAATGCCTGTAGTTTGCAAAATTGTGTTAATTGTTACAGTGGGACATTGTATTTCCAGCCAATAAGAAGCACATGGGGGGTCTCTCTATTGCATTGCTGTTTTATTTTATGCTTTTATGATTTTTCCAGATGTTTTTAATGATTGTGCTTTCAAACCTTTAAGAAACCGGCCAACATGGTTTATGCCAGAGGACAATGTTTTAGATCCATATAGAGTTCAGTCTTAGGACCCGCTCAGAAGCGACATAAACTTCACCCTAATAAAGTTAAAAACCCCATGGTCTGCTGGCTTTGCTAATGCCATTAGTAGAACCAATGCCCCATCATGTCTTATCTAGGTGGTCTTAGTGTAAATCAGTACTCCTATAATACACATGGCCTTGTAAAATGCATCTGTTGTAAGAGGACAGTGAAAGCTGTTGGCCAAACTAATGCCCTGGGGAATGTTGGATGTCCTTTCAGAAGTGCTATTACTTCCTAGTTACTAAATAACGTTCCTGTAAATGGTTTTTCATTTATTGGAAAAATTCCCCGAATGCAAGTGACAGGTGCACTTTACAGTGTTTCAAGTTTATGCTGAAAAAAATCTGGTGGTCACATTTGCACATTGTAAAACGTTTTATCAGAGGGATGTGCAGTTTATTACTTCATTTTGTTTAAATACTAAAAAGAGAGTTGTTTCCCTTCATTTTTCAGACGATGACCTTGATAAGCAGAGGAGGAGTGTTAGGACGTGCGCCTGGGATGTAGCATATGCTGTTTCCCTTCGCCTTGTAATGTCATGGGCTATTAAGCTAGGGCCAGAGCAGACATAGAAGACCTTTGCATGGGCATAGGCAGTTTTGTTTCCCAGTACATTCTGTATGATTCAACTACAAATTATTTGATAGGACATCATTATTTTTTCACAGCAACCTTTCCTATGAAATTATCCAGGTCAGAAGGTTCAAAATACTTTGGAATTGCTTGTTACTGGATGAATTTGATAGTGATTTTATGTGAAAGTTACTATGCTTCCACACTATGCCAGGGGTATGAATGACATACAAATGAACCACATTCTAAGTATCTCCAAAGAACTGATTGACTTCAAATTAACACGTAACCTCATCCAAGAGCAGCAAGACTTGCTGGACATACGTTATGTGACTGATGGGTGTACAGAGCCGTGTCAATATTGATCAAGTGGGCATTAGTGGAATACCTATCTCTGGTCATATTTCCCCTTTTATACATTTTTTTTGTCCACCCAATAACTTTAATTTGGCCAAATCACACATTGATTTCACTTAGGGTTCATTTGCACAGGTGTTCCGTCCTTGACCTGTTTGAGCTAAATTCAGCTCTCCATAACTGGATAGAACTTGCTGCTTACTAAATGTAATTCTAATCTTTCAGTATGATAGGACAGACAGTGTAACAGGCTATCCCGAGTGAACAGACACAATAGAACATGTCCTACTACGTTCTCTTTATTTGTCACCCCAAATATGAATATACCATTTCATCACTTTAATTTTAGGGTTCACCATGCCAGAAGTGATTTATTCAAACAGTGATGAATGGAACAATGTATACACTGAATACAGCCAAAAGTGACCACTGGAATACACACCCCGAATCTAGATACATACACAAGACACAGACATGTTTGCTTACAAAAAAGCTAATTTAACAAAATGTATGATCTGAATCCCTGTACATGAAACTTACTTCAGGATTCCCATTTTGAGGCCAAAGGCAGGTATGTTGTTCACCGACCTTTAACTGAAACGGGTTAGGATATAAATATAGGAATAGACATTACTCCAGCAATTAGAGGTCACCTAATGTCTGACAGTTGCTGACCTCACAGGCTGTCTCCCAGATTCTAGTAGTGCAGTGTGTGAAGTCAAGACAGTAGAATGGCAGCAACTTTAAAACGCCCCTATCCCCATAGGGTCACTTTTACCTAATAAGTAACCTGCACAAACATCAATATACTTCGCTTTCTGGCAGCTCATATATGGAAAAGCTGCCACTTCTTCACTTCCCAGTCACTGCAAACACTTCTGGGTGTGTAGAATACTTGCTCCCCCATCTGCTGCTATGGTTCTCATTGCCAGCTCATACATCGCTACAGATGAAAACTGCAGCATTTGGTAAAAGTGATCCTGTGCTGACAGGGTCACTTTAAGATGACCTCTGACTCCCTGACAAAATGTTAGGCTTAGGACAAGTAAAGCTAAATCAGAAGCAAAGCTAAATAGGGGGACCCAGTGCATGTCTTGGGGACCCAGTTACAACCTTCATCCTCCAGATGTAAAATGGGGATAGTGCAGTTGGTAAAAGTTGTTTGTCTGCCTGTCCCCACACAGTAGTACTTGGAGGAAGTTGGTGTCTGATAGAGAAGGGACATGCTAATACCGACAATGCAAATAAAGCGGCATCCCTGTATCTATTGCAATCCTTATTAATGGCAATCAAAGTGATGGGGGGTTTAAAGATGCTACCTTAATTAGGGCCCCATTTTGCCTTATTCAGTTTTTTGCATCATAGGCAAGCCTACACTGTTATATTTAAGATTGCAAATTCCTGCAATAACTCAGATGGGACGGGTTTACTTTAAGCCAGAACTGTTAACTATAGGAGAGACCTGTGTAGTTGCTAAATATTTCTTACTAAATACAAGGAGAAGATTATACTTGTGAGAAAAAGAAATCATCTACTGGCTGGGATAGGGCATACTTAGAATTCTGCTGTCAGACTATTATTGCTTTTTAATCCGTTCCTTGTTTTGTTTTCATCATAATCCTTGTTTTACAACCTGGCATAATGATTTTACCTCAAAAAATCAATGTGTGTAATATGAAATAACCATCTGTATTATAAGCAATTGCACTTTGTGTCCCATAAAAATAGTTTATATTTTCTGAGACTATACATTTGCCTTACATGCAGATAGACCGATATTTTTAAATATGGTTCAATGTCTTTAATTGGTCATATCAAACCGCCTGTATGTGAGGCTATGGCATTTTGTGTTGTTCTCTGTGAATCTTTGTGCACTGAATCATGTAACAAAACATGGCTGCCAGTTGACTTTTTTTACTTGCAAAAGCATGTGCTGCTGGCCCCAAATGGCAAAGATTAAAATTATAACATGTATGTGTGTGTCATCTCCCCTTCACTAAATGACAAACGCAAAAAAATAAGTTGTAATTCAAAACCTCTTTGGACAAAGTGTGACTAGCCTCAAATAGATTTTTTCATATGAAGTGTCTAGAGTCTAGTAGAGTGTAACACTTCCAGGTATGTATTTCTTCTCACAGAGATTCCCGTTTCACTTTATTTATAAAATAGATTTTTTTTAAAAGCATATAAGAACATTATAAGAAAAAGCATGGTTCAATATAGCATGACATCACTCATAGGACTTAAAAATCAGCTACTCTCAATGGCTTCTCTTCAGTTTACATTCATGTATAAATATAGAAATCTGGGTAACAACTACCATTGGTTTGACCATACATCCTCTGTAAATGAAAGCTGATTCATGCAGTGGAACAGAAGTAGGACAGGATGTGAAAGGAAATCTCTGACATAGAAAAAAATAAACTCACAGGAATTTTCATTTCTCTACGCCATCCAAAGAATTCTGGAGATACACACTTTAAAGCTGCCCATGGGCATAATATAAGCTTCAAACTATCCAGCTGCTGGAGGATCAGCAGATCTATGGTACCTGCAGACAAACTGATCATTCTGAGGATAATACAATCTCTGTTTTTCAGCTGCTATTAAAATTTGAATTTAAGTCCTTTAAAATGGATTGAAAATAGAAATATTTAAAGTTAAAGGAGAACTATGGGGTTAGGACTTAGGGTAATGGGAGGACACAAACTAGCGTCCTCCCGTCACCCTAAGCTCAGTATACTGTGAACTACAGCTCGCGGTATACTGAGACGCCGCAGCTGAAACGGATCCCGACAATTATGTCTGGATCCGCCCAGCTGCGTAAGCGACAGCTGGCTCTGCCTATCTAGAGGCAGAGCCAGCTGTACCCGCACCCTCCCTCGTCCGTTCCGCCAGTCAGCGCTGGAGGATCAGAGCGGGGAGGGGGAATCCAGCCCCTCCCTGTCACGGCTCTCTGCCGTGACAGGATCGAGAAGTGAGCGAACGCCGGTATGTGTTCGCTCACCTCCCGATTTACTGAGCCGACCTGTGACAGTCTCATTGTCACAGGTCGGCTAGAACTATGAGGTGAGTGAAAAGCACTCACCTCATAGTTCTCCTCCTTTAACAGAGTTCCCTGCTTCTCTGGAGTGTTTGCTGTGGTGGATTGCATGATGATCTTTATAGAAAGCACTTAAGAAACAAATTTATCAAAACCATTAGTCTGCTTCAAAATAAAACCGCTTCTGTTCCCCTGCAGATAAAGTGGTGCTGGAAGTTGGTCCAGGACTCCCTTCTGGAGGAGGCTCTTCCATACATATAGGAGTCTATTTTTAAGCAATATGCAGGACCCTTCTTCCTGCTGATATCTGCAAATGTTCATTTTGGGGCGCATAATAACAAAAACAAATGTTCTCAATATAGTTATAATATATAAACGTATTTCCTGCGCTCCTCAGCTCCATTTAGTGGCAATAATGTAATATTACAACTTGCTTCACTGGAGCTGGAAAAAGCTTCATTTAGTGCTCTAAATGTCATATTACAACACTACATTCGAACTTGGAAAAAATAAATTCATTTTTGGCAATGTTCACAGATATTCACAGAGGAGAAGGCCCTGCAAATTGTTTATAAATAGACCCAATAGTGTAAGCTCCACTAAGCATATATGTACCTGTTTTTGAAGCAATCTCAATAAAGTGTTGCCTGACGGTGGTCAGATAGGCATGTCTGACCACTCTCGTATGTCTCTAAACCTGTACAGTGCCCATGTAGAGGGAAGTCGTCCCTCCTCTTATTCTTTCCCTCCCCTTATTCTTACCTTCCCCCTTACATTTTGCTCACTTTCCTGCCTCCTTATTTGCCCATTGAAGTATAGTAAAATCCCAAGTATTTTTTAATCCTAAAACAAGAATGTAATAT